CAAACCGATATATATTTATAGTATGAGAGCATTAACAATGAATGACAATGACTCTGCTGGTAAACTACCTCTACTATTTCCCTCTAAACCTGGGTTCGAGCCTCCGGGTATGCAACTTTTGTATTTTCTTATTATTCACAAAGCCAATATATTTTTATAGTATGAGAGAATTATCAATGAATGACAATGACTCTGCTGGTAAGCTACCTCTACTATTTCCCTCTAAACCTGGGTTCGAGCCTCCGGGTATGCAACTTTTGTATTTTCTTATTATTCACAAAGCCAATATATTTTTATAGTATGAGAGAATTATCAATGAATGACAATGACTCTGCAGGTCAACAACCTCTACTTTCTCCCTTTAAACCTGGGTTTGAGCCTCCGGATATGCAAGAATTTTTTTTTTTTAGTAATCACAAAAAAAAATAAAGAACATTCGTTAACACGTAGAGAGTATATATATCACACTAACACAATGATTCACCATGGGAGTGAGTTCTCATCTTCTTCTCTCATTGCTTCAGTCTTAACTTTTATTTTCATGCTAGAAGCAAAGAGAGAGAGCAAGACATTTACCGTACAACAGAAGTGAACAAAAGATAAAGCTAAATGCTTTCTACAACAGAAGTGAACAAAAGATAACTTGATTCCCTAGTATTAAAGGCAAAGCTTAAGTCGTTGTGCTTACAAAACATTCGTTAAGTCCTTGTGCTTACAAAACAAAGCTAAATGCTTTCTATCCGATAAAAACACCAAAAGATATTCATACCCAACATATTTTACATTACTAATACTAACTTCTACACCTCTGTTGGTTCCATGGGATGATGAGAGCATGAACAGATTTGAAAAGCACTTCCGATAGGAACACCACTTCCGATAACTCCTTCATCTCCTAGCAAATCAGGGACCTCATGCTGTAGTGTTAGGATCTGGAAAATGAGGTTGGGAAGATGAGTCTTGTATCAGAATCTGTTAAACGGACCATCTCAATAACCTGGTCATACACAAGATGGCCAAAGTTGACTGGAATGCAGTTGGCAATAGCGTGCAAAAGCTTGAGCCGATCTTTAATCATTCCGTCTGAATCCGGTCCTGGGAGCCAATTCCGCTCACAAATGCGGTACAAAGTCTGAAATGGGTTGATCATATCAGTTATTTTGAAGCCTCTCCACGCAGAACAACTACCTCCGGTTAGGAATATGATAGCTTCCTTCAAAGTTACTTGATTCCAACGGTATGTGTGAGGAACCTCAGGCGTCATCAGTAAACGGTTGATTAGTGTTGGCGAGAAGTTGAATAAGTTTCCTCTAATAAGTACTTGGTCGCTGTGGTAGGGTTTGTTAGAGATGAATTCTACAACAACTCTAGGGCAAAACCTATGGACATGCATAACTGTGTAGGACCACCCGATTCCGTCTATAATGGCAAAAGCCTCACCTAAAGAGGGATCAGTAGGGTCTATAGTACCTTGGATTACAAAGCCACGAAGTCTCAGGAGATCATAGCTTCTAGCAGTTTCATCATCAATATGCCGGCGATGGTAACCCCCGATGACCGGAATGTTTCTCGAGAAAAGATCACGACCTCTCCGTAGTCGTTCTTCATAGGTGAGGAATGGCACTTGAGGGATGAACATCGTGGTCTAGGGTAGATGCAAGAGAACTGCTTTGTTTCTAGAATAAGAGAAACCGATGGTTTCCCTCGTATTGAAGAAGACGAAAGGGTGGGAGACTCACAATCTTCCATAAAGCGACACTTGGCAATTCAATGTATTTTTTATCGTTTAAATATATTTTGTTCTTTCAATAAGCAATTCAATGTGTTAATCTAGCTTAGTGGAGGAGTATCACCAAGTCTTCGATCTGTATTTGGGTTCGAGCCTCCGGGTATGCACATTTTGTATTTTTGAATTAATCACAAAGCCGATATACAAATATATTGTGAGAGCATTAACAATGAATGACAATGACTCTACTGGTAAACTACCTCTACTTTCTCCCTCTAAACCTGGGTTCGAGCCTCCGGGTACCCACATTTTTTTATATTTTTATTAATCACAAACCGATATATATTTATAGTATGAGAGCATTAACAATGAATGACAATGACTCTACTGGTAAACTACCTTTACTTTCTCCCTCCAAACCTGGGTCTGAGCCTCCGGGTACCCACTTTTTTTTATTTTTTTATTAATCACAAACCGATATATTTTTAATTCGTTGCTCTGGATATTGATCACCGGTTTAGAAAACTATTTTCAATGTATTTTTTAGGGATTTTTGTACGCAAATTGAAAATGCAAATCATAGGGTTCATAAATCAGAGAGCAATACAATATCATTTAGGTTTGAAACCGTGACAAAAAACACTGAGAATGGATCCTACACAACCTACATCGATTGAATTGTTATGCTTTTAAATTCTTCCTGCACCGTCTTCATCGTACTTCTGAGTTCTTCAATTTTTTTGGCAAACCGCAACTGATGACCATCCAACCTCTGAATCTCATCCAAACAAGCTTCGTCGACCCACTTAAAAAGATGATTCTCGTTCTTTCTCTGTTCAAAACGTATAAAACAAGTCAATTGTAATAAACATGTAAAATAAAGAATTATCAAGTTATGATAAATCAGATCTACCTTCAAACCATTCTCACATCTGAAAAATCTTTTGTATGGGTTCTCCTCCGTTTTGGAAACATAAGTGACAATCCCCTTACCACACCAGCATCTGGAAGGGATCCCTTCACTGATGATATACATGTTCGTCGCTTATAGTGTTTAGGTTTTACGAAAGAATAAGAAAAGAAACCGATGAAATCGGTTTAGGTTTTGAGGGCCTATAGTGTTTGTGTCCATGTTAAAGGGGGGGGTTATATAAGATTTTGTTTAGGGCAAACACAGCTTTTACTCGGATTAGGTTTTAGGTTATAGATAGGGATTAGTTTCTGTCTAATTTTACTATCATTTAGGGTATAGATAGGGTTTACAAAGGGGTTCTATAATTTAGTACAACTATAATAAACATTTGTTTGGATTTATATTTTAATTTAATTCTAAATGGAAAAACATTTAAACATTTGATTTGGTATAAATTTTAAATTAAACATTTGTCTAATTTTACTATCATTTAGGGAATAGATAGGGTTTAGAAAGGGGTTCTATAATTTAGTACAACTATAATAAACATTTGATTTGGTATAAATTTTAAATTAAACATTTGTCTACTTTTACTATCATTTAGGGTATAGATAGGGGTTAGTCTATGTGTATCTTTACTATCATTTAGGGTATAGATAGGGTTTAGAAAGGGGTTCTATAATTTAGTACAATTATAATAAACATTTGATTTGGTATAAATTTTAAATTAAACATTTGTCTACTTTTACTATCATTTAGGGTATAGATAGGGGTTAGTTTATGTGTATCTTTACTATCATTTAGGGTATAGATAGGGGTTAAATAATAAATACTTCAAATATTCTAACAATAACATGCAAATGACAACATTCTTCCTACACGAGTTTTATCAATTCAATCAAGCTCCACAAGAGGATTTGAAATAGTCTTTGAAGGAGTGAATTGTGCCATTCTCGCAATAAGCTCAGGATCAGTAGCAGCTTCCCATAGATCATAAGCAATCTTTAACCGTGCCTCACGAATGTTGTCATCATTCACCAAAGAGATGTCCATGCCTAGAAGATGGCATTCTATGTGCTTCAAGGCATATACTCCACGTCAGTGGCACTACGATTTAGAACAAAGGGCATTGGAGCGTATGTGACAGTATAGTTCTTGACCGTGTGTGTCCGACTGCTTGAAGACTAAACAGCTTTGACAATTCTAGGGATGAGAACAGCAAATGGCTCCACCGCTCTTGGATGTTTCATTCCCTCACAGTCAAACACCTCTATGGAACGAGTGACAAAATCGACGCACAAAGCGATCCAATGTTTACCAACATTCACGGGGACATACATGCGGTCAACATCAAGATCCCACATTAGTCTTGTCCTTCCGTGTGCTGGAAGCTCCCCAATGCCATACTCGTGTAGAATTCCTCCACCTTTGAACTTCCTTCCGTTCTTAATGAACTCTTCGAAGGAGTTTTTCATTTGATTACTAAACAAGCATGTCATGAACGCGACTCTTTTTGGACGCCATCGTCGCAAAGAAGTCCTCTCACTGAATACAGACATCATAGCATCAATTTCCTGAAAAAATAGAAAAAAAGATTGAAAACAGATGTAAAGAAAAAAAGAAGCAACAAATTAGAAACTCACTTTATTGAAGAGCCACTTTGTAGGTCCAATGACACGTTTTGCTAACTCACTTGTGAAAATACTAGGTCCAAGCTTCAGTACCCTGGAATGCAAGCTTCAGTTACACAAGGATCAAATTTTTTTATCACTAAAAAACAATATAAACTAACCAGGAAGTTGTCAACCACTCAGTCACTTTGGCCCATTGATCCTCAGCAACAAACACTAGATTGTAATCAGCGTCATTCATGCGGTCCTCAGGGAGTTCCATATCTTTGAGACTAGGTAGTATCCAGTCCATAGGCTTGAACGTAGATAATGGAGTAACCCATTCCGGTTGTTCGTCGTCATTGATACTTTGTGAGGGATCAAAACATTTAACATGTGATGCTTGAGAAAGATCTCCCATGGCATTTTGTAAAGACTCTTGGGTCCCCTTCATCTTGTCTACATGTTTCTTGGTTTTTGTTAGATTCTTCAAAAACTCCAACATTTCACTATCATCCTGTTAATACAAGTATACAACCAACCATAGCATTAATACTAAAATAAGTGAACATTCTTATAATACATAAGTTTGCGATAAGCTACACTCCAAATATATTACAAACCACACACAAACTTACAAGCCAAACCTACCAAGTACATTACAAACGACACAAAAACTTACAACAAAAGATAGCGACCTTATCAAAAATACTTAGAATACTCAACCCACACATAATCTCACATAGCTTCATGTTGTTGTTACCTTTCTAACTGTCCGAGGACTACGACGAACCGCAATTGGATCCACACTCACATTGGCTCTTCCTTTTGCTGCTGAAGGACGTGGAGTCTGTGATGACTTAGCTTGATCTTGCATTAGTGTAGATGAAGGACCCGGACTCTGTGAAGAGTTGTCTTGATCTTTTCCAATTGGTCCTGAAGGTGTCGAGATCTCAGCTGCTGTGGTTTTCCCAAGTGCATCTGAAGGAGCCATAAACTGAGACATTGTTTCTTTGATATTAGCCACCTCAGTATCGACCTTATCAAAACGCTCTTGCATCTCCTTCTGCACCATGTCCTTAAAAGAGGTGAACAACCCCTGAATGAAGGTCTTCATTTCACCGGAGACACCACTTTTATGTTCAGCTGCTCGTTGACATAGGAGTTCTCTCTTCCGATACTCCACACCAGGATCATGGCGCTTACGCTTCGCGCTCTTGACAGCAGCTATCGACTTCTCTACAACAATAGGCGGCTCCGTGACATCTTCATCTTCAACATCGTCTTCTTCTTCGTCAGAAAATAGATTGTTTGTTGGCAGAGACTCAACTTCCCAAACGAATTCCCTCCAGTCATGATTGGCTTTGATCATATCAACTCTTTCGTCCTTCTTCTCATCTTCTCTTTTGAACTCAGGATCATCAATCACACCCGACTTCCCACTTGATGATATAAATGGAAACAACTCTCCCTGCCATGCAAAAACCAAACAATCAACACCATAAAGACAATTTTGATCTCAATATTAATAGTAGCAAGATAATTACCTTGTCAAAGTGGGATTCTAGGCTGATGATATCTTGATAAGATACTTTTCCACTTCCTGCCCAATTTCTACACCTCACCTTGACAATGTTTTTTTTTAACTTCTTAGCCACCATAGTACCAATGTCTGGGACTGCCTCCATGATCCATATCTGAAACGCATATGAGAATCCATCCAAAACGTAGCTGTTCTTCAGATGCAAATCGGTCCTTGCCTTTAATATGGAAGCAAGCAGCTCGTCATAAGCGCGAAGACCCCAGGGAAACATTCTCATTTTCTCAAAATCCATCACCAAATGGATGTATTCTTGAGGGATATACACTTTCGGATCCTTAGCCACGATGAACCCATGTATAAGGCACGAATACACTAACCTCACCCTGTCCACATATGACCACTTCTTACACACCTTAAGTAGCTTGTCCCTTATCATGTATATGTTGATATTGCTATTTTGCTTCAGCGCTTTGCTCCAGAAACCCTTATCATCCTCCCATTTGTTGAAGTCTATGTCTGGTTCTTCTTTGAACTTCAACCCAGTGACAGCATGAAATTCTTGCATGGAGAACCTTAGCGGCCTGTTTGCAAACTCAAACCACAACTCGTGAAGCTTGGAAACCTTGAGCTGCTTGCATATAAAGCTGTGAATGATCTTCCCTGAGTAAATGAGTTTGTTGTCTACAATTGCCAGAATCGGACCGAAGACAGGGTCTTTCAAAACTTCTTCATACTCATCCTTAAGAAAATCCTTCAACAATGCAAGCATCATACGTCTACATGTATTGTTGATCTTATCAATTCGGAGCTCAGCTCCTTCTTCACAAATCCGCTTTGGAAACTGGTAAGCCATTCCTACAAGTGTGAAAACATAAGTAAAATGTTATACTTTACTTATGTAATTGCAAACAGAAGAATCAAAAAGTATAAACATATCAAACTCATTAGCCTTTTCAAGTCTATTACGAAATCAAAACGTAATACTAAACCGATAAGTGACAAAATATAAGTCAAAATCAACTCAACAACCAATGTTTTGTTCCTGGTTCGATCCCAGACAACATGTAAAATGGACCGGTTTTACATGTCAAAATCATTAGCCTTTCAAGTCTATTCCGAATTCAAACCATAATACAATACAATATCAAACTAAAATAACTCATAATCAACTCAACAACCAAAGCTTTGGAACGGAGAAACAAAAATCAGATAGAGGGGATTTCAAAACAACCAAAGTTTTTAAGCAATTCCATATATTTCTCCGACATGCACATAAACAAAAACCAAAAAAAAAACAAGATCCATAAAGGAAATTTCAAAACCCTAACCTTCGAATTTTGGGAACAGTGATGAAGGAAGAACAAAAGAGGGACAATGAGAAGCAAATCGTGCGATTTCTGAGAGAAGAAGCCACTTCGGAGGTTAAGGAACTCCGATATCGATCGCCGGGATTTACAAAGATGAGTACAATCGGCCGAAAGTAAAGACGAAAGGAGGATGACGGAGAGATGTGAGGACTATTTCGAGCTCTCCGGTGAAAGACTCTCGGCGAGAAGCAAATCACCTCTTTCCTCTCTGAGAGAGAAAAGGAGTCGCGAGAGCTGAGGGTTATTTTTCTTTTTGAGCTATGGGGTTAACTTCTCTTCTTTTGTTATCGGAGGGTTACTTTTTTATTACTTAGTTTGTTAAGTTACATTTTTTTACTTAAAAATTGTTTTTACATTTATTTATAAATTAAATTATTAACAAAATGGAAAAGAAAAGGACAAAAGGGGATATTCATTATAGTTTATACTATAGGGACAAGAATTTTGAATTAAATTCTAAGGAAACAATAGTATAGGTATTTCATCACTTTTTGGCAATTTTCCCTATTTTCTATCCAGTTCCTCGCTAATTTGAAGTAAAAGAACATTTCCTCCTAATTTCGTAGTAATGTTTTACTAGGAATTTATGAGGAAAGTATTTACTACGAGATTACGAGGAAATGGTCTTTTGCCACATACTTTCCTCGTAATTTTACTACGGTCTTACGAGGAAACATTTTTCTCGTAAGTTTACGAGGACTTTACAAGAATTCTTGTTTTCCTCGTAAAACCGAAGTAATGTCGTAGTAAATTTACGAGGAATGTTTTTCCTAGTAAAATTCCCTAGTAAACTCTTAGTTTTTTTGTCGTGTAAATTCAACGCTCCATTGTATATGGTCTTATAATAAGACTAGCTATTTTGACTGTGAATGTGACTTTTCATTTCTTTCCGGTTTTTGGCTGTGACTGTGAACATGACTTCTCATTTCTTTTTTTGTTAAAATTATATACCCATCCATTATTTTTTATCTTCGTATACAAAAAAAAATCGTGAAATCAATCTAAATTTGCAATCACAGCATCAACAACCTCCTCTGTAGTAACACTAGTGTTCCTACATATTTGTCCTTGAGAGACAACCTGCTTCAGAGCGGTTTCAAGGCGGTTAGCGAATAAAGGAAGCAGAAAATATCTCAAAATCTGATAGATACCTTAAGGCTTACGTGAGGAAGAAGAAGAGGAATAAAGAGAAGTGAAGGCGTTGAAGTTGGAGGGAGATTTTAATAAAAGAAGTTTGAAAATAAGAGAAACCTTTGGAGTGAGAAGGAGGCTTTGCAGTTATAAGTCACAAGTTTAGGAAATACTTTAAATATGCTTTTGAATTCATTTTGGGGGTTTATGTTTTTATTTGTATTTGGCGAGATGAGCCTATACTGTACAATCGCTATGAGACTGATGGATTCGAAATTCTCGACATGAGAGTATTGTAGATTCCATACACAAAGCTTGATTACTTCTTATTGAATATACAAAGAGAGTTTACAGAGAGATATTGAATTCGAGATAGCTAAAACCTATCATTGGTGCGGTGAAACTGATTCGAACAAATCGCGATGACTTCACAGAGTTCGTCACTGTCGAGAGCTTCGATTCAGCTTGATTCAGCTGATACGGAGGTTTCAATGAAGAAGGAGGTCGAACTTCTCAACGAGTCGTACAAATTACTGATGAAGAAGACGGCGTAAAACAATCAACGGAACGATATGAGGTTTAGTACGGTGGAAGAAAGTTTGAAGGAGATTCTTCATCAGTTCGATAAACGTACGATGTTTTCGGAGGAAGACGATTGTCAAGATCGTAAGTCAGAGTTATCAGATCCATCACCTCAGGTACCGATTCGGAGCTGTGAACAAAGTTGGTCCAATAATTCGTTGGCATATTGATCTGGTGATTTGCATTTGACTAACCGTGACAAAATGTTAAATAAAGTTGAGATGCCAAGTTGTGATGGAAGTTTTGTTTCAGATTGGTTGATTGATGTGGAACATTTCTTTGATATTGGTCACTTTCATGAACATGAGAAGTTGGATTTGATTCCGTTTTGCATTGAAGGAAAACTTAAGAAGTGGTTTGCGTGGGTGCTTCGTCGTGGTGGTTTCAGAAGTTGGTTAGATTTCAAGCAACATGTTAATCTGCGGTTTACGGAATCTATTGACGAAGAACCTAGTACTCGTCTATTTTCCATCAAAATAACTGGTTCTATAGCAGACTATCTTTCGGAGTTTGAGGTGATGTCAGCTCAAGTACCTGGTGTGGAAGATGTGCATCTTAAACGCATATTATATAATGGTTTAACTGAGGATATGCAGAAAGTGATAAAGATGAAGGATCCACAGGGGCTTCCGAATTTCATTGCTGCAATCTTGAGAATGGATAAGAGTGCCTTTTGTCAGGTGGTGAGTCAAGTAGGAGATGCTGCCAATGCCGGTTATCGCAATGCTTAACATTCTAAGTCTATGAGGCCTGGTAATGGGAATAAATTTTGGGAGAAGCAGAAGTCTGAAGGGAGTCAAAATAAGGAAGACATCAATGATCAGAGACCTCGTTTGAAGTATACTGATGCAGATTCGGATGCTATGAGGAGGGACAAAGTGTGTTTTAAGTGCAAAGCTCCATGGTCACGAACTCACTTGTGTCTCAGCAAATAGCTACAGATTTTAACGGTGGTTAACGGTATTGAGATGAAAGTTTTGGAGTTGGATGAAGAGGATTAAGATAATGCGAAGTCAAATAAGTGAGAACATTATGTCTTAACTCTTTTTTGGTATTGATTCACCGAAGACAAAAAAATTTAGAGGATAAATTCATAACAAGGAATTGATCCTTATGATTGATAGTGTAGCCTCTCATAATTTCATTTCTCCAGATGTAGTACGCAAGTTACAGTTGAAAATTTCTGGTGATAGTAACTTGGACGTTTTATTGGGGAATGGCTTTACGGTGAAGGCATAAGGGTTGTGTAGAGATGTTCCTTTTCTACTGAACAGCGCAAATTTTGTTTCTACGTTCATTGCTTTGGAGTTAGGAAGTGTAGATGTGATTTTGGGCGTTCAATGGCTAGAAACATTGGGGAAATGTGAAGTGGATTGGAAACTGCAGGAATTTTTTTTCTTATACAATGGGTAATGTGTTACAATTTACGGTGATACAACACTCCATTGTACTAAGTTGTCTGTTAAGTCGTTGTCACCGGTTTATGGTGATATTCACCATGGAGACCAGGAAGCGATGACAGTGGTAGTACGGAAGTGCATGAGTTGTTGGTTGAACATAGATTTGAAGTGTTGTTGCAGCGGTTTGAAGATGTCTTTGCTATTCCTTTTTCTTTACCTCCTTAAAGAGGTCAAGAACATGCTATTAACTTGGTCCCTAGGGTATCAGTTATTTTGGTACATCTTTATCGCTACCCTCATGCCAGGAAAATAGAAATGGAGAAGATGGTGCAAGAGATTGTAGACGCAGGTATTATAAGACCTAATGTGAATCCTTTTTCTAACCCGGTATTATTGGTAAAGAAGAAATATGGTACCTTGCATTTCTGTGTTGACTATCTTGCTTTGAACAAGTCAACAATACCTGATAAATACCCTATTCCAGTGATTGATCAATTATTAGACGAGTTAAATGGGGCTGCAGTATTCTCCAAACTTGATCGTTGCTCATGATATCATCAGATGAGGATGGTAGAAGAAGATGTTAGAATACACCATTCAGGACAGTTGAGGGGCATTACGAGTTTCTTGTTATGCCATTTGGTTTAACAAATGCTCCTGCAACTTTCCAGGCTTTGATGAACAAGATTTTCAAGCTTTTTCTGCGTGATTTTGTTCTTGTCTTGTTTGATGATAGTTTGGTGTATAGCCATACTAAAGAAGTTCATGAAGAACATTTGGAGAAGGTGTTTGACAGTGTTGAGAGAACATTCATTATTTGCTACTTTTGGTGTTTCTCAAGTGGAGTACTTGGGGCACATCATGTCTTCTGTGGATGTGGCTACGGATGCAGTAAAGACGGAGGCAATAATGAAATGGCCTACCCCAAGAACTGTCAAGAAGTTGAGAGGCTTTCTCGGTCTTACAGGGTAGGCGGTTTTTGAAAGATTATGGAATGTTGGCTAGACCTTTAACATCATTGCTAAAGATTGATCAGTTTGTGTGGAGTCCTTTGGCTCAAGAGTTGTTTGATAAGCTGAAGAGTGCTATGGTTACTGCTCCGGTGTTAATCTTGCCAGACTTTCAGAAACGTTTTATTGTTGAAACTGATGCCTCTGGAGTAGGATTGGGGGCTGTGTTGATGCATCAGAATATACCAGTGGCTTTCTTTAGTCATGCTCTGACTCCACGAGAACAACTCAAGCCAGCTTATGAGAGAGAGTTAATGGCAGTGGTGATGGCTGTTAAGAAATGGAAGCATTACTTGCTTGGGAGACACTTTACAGTCCATACTGATCAACAAAGTATTAAATATTTGCTGGAGCAGAAGGAGGTGAATATAGAGTATCAAAAGTGGCTTACGAGACTGTTGGGGCTTGATTTTGACATTTTGTATAAGCCTGTGTGTGAGAATAAGGCTGTGGATGGCTTATCTCAGAGTATGTGACTAGCTTTGTTGCTGTTTACTGTGACAGTACCAACTGCTATTCAGTGGCAGGATTAATTTCTGGAGATTTAGAAGGACAGTGGAATTCAGTTACTTATCCAAAAACTACTTGAGAAGAATGGAGGATCAGAGGGAAAGTTGGTGGTGCATGATGGGAAGTTGTGGTCGAAGAAAAGATTGATGATTCCAAAAACTTCCAAGTTCATTTCTTTGATTTTGATAAAATGTCATGATAGCAAAACTAGGGGTCATTCTGGCGTAATGAAGACTATTAAACGGATTCATCGGTCTTTTGTTTGGGAAGGGTTGAAGAAAAAAGTGCAAGAATACATTGCAGCATGTCAAGTGTGTCAGATGCACAAGCATTCGACTCTCTCTCCTGCCGGGCTTTTGCAGCCTCTTCCAATACCTTTACACGTTTGGAAGGACATAAGTATGGATTTTGTAAAAGGTTTACCTTTATCTGGAGGAGTAAATGTGATTTTTGTGGTGGTGGATAGATTGAGTAAGTACGCATACTTTGTGGGTCTCAAGCATCTGTTTAATGCTTCTGATGTGGCCTCTAAATTTGTGAAAGAGATTGTGAAGCTTCACGATTTTCATAAGAGTATTGTGTCAGACCGTGATTGTGCGTTTCTAAGTGTTTTCTGAAGGGATTGTTTTTGTTTGGCATGATCAACTTTGAAGTATAGCACTTCCTTTCATCCTCAAACTGATGATCAGTCCGAGGTGGTGAATCATTGTCTCGAGACTAATTTGCGGTGTTTTGCTTCTGGCCACCCACGAACTTGGTCAAAGTTTTTGAGTTGGGCTGAATATTTGTTCAATACCTCATACCACACATATTGAAAATATCCCCTTTTCATGTTGTGTATGGTAGAGAACCTCCTGCGCTGTTACCATTTGAAGACGGTTTAACTAAAAACTTTGATTTGGAGGAATTGTTGAAGGAAAAAGACATGATGTTGGTAGCGTTGAAGTTTCATTTGGAGAGAGCTCAACAGTTGATGAAGAGTCAACCTGATAAGCATAGAAGGGATTTGGAGTTAATGTGGATGAGATGGTTTATCTGAAACTTCGGCCTTTTCGTCAGAACTCTGTGGCTCTGAGGTTTTGTCAGAAATTAACGGCCAAGTTTTATGGATAGTATCGAGTGATGGAACACATTGGGAAGGTATCATATCGGCTACAGTTGCCTGTTGGTTCCTGTGTACATGATGTCTTTCACGTGTCTCAGTTGAAGCGAGCTATTGGGAATCACGAGGTTGTTTCTGTTTTATCACCAGCGTGTTCTAGTGAAGTGTGTGACCCTGTTGTACTGGCTGATGTGTTAGCTAAGCGGTACACTGATAAGGGAAACTTGAAGTTGTTGGTGAATTGGGTGAGCAAATCGGCTGTTGATGACTCGTGGATGTTGGCATCGGAGTTCCTGGCAAACTTTCCTTCATTCAAGGCGGTTTTAAGGCGGTTAGTGAATAAAAGAAGCTGAAAATACCTCAGAATCATAACTGAAGAGAACAGTAATGCTACAGAATTGTCATCGTTTCCTATTAATCCAACTTGCTCAAACACAACATATTCACCAATAAAACATCCTCCATGCATAATAATTTCACCGTTGCCCCTTCCAGCAGCAATGTTTGCAATTAGATCCTTATAGAGATTTGGAGTTACAATGACGTCGAATTGATCCGGTGTCTCTACAAATCGCAAACAACAGTTATCAACAGATATTTTGTCTTAAGAGATGCTGGATACATCTTTGCAGCTTCTTGACAAGAATCCAAGAAGAAAGCATCAGCTAGTTTCATGAATTTCTCGTATGTTCTCTTGTTGTGCACTGCTATGACTTTCTTTCTCTTGTTCAGTTGAGCAAATTCGAAAACATACTTTGCGATACGGTCAGACCATAAATTTTTCATCGTCACCTGAAAGCTTTGGATAACACCAGGAATAACTTCGTGATCACACCCACCATATTGGCCTCCCGTGTTTTCTTTTATCATCACGATGTCAACGTTCTCGTCGTGACCATTCAAACTGAAGCACTTGACCATAGATGCAAAGAGGTTAAGCTGCTTCCTTGCAGCAGCACACAAGGAAGTCTTGAGTCTACGATTCAAGCACACTTTGTTATTTCTTATTGAGTCCACCACTTCCACAGCAAATGATTCATATTTTCCGTATGTCTCAAAGTAGACTGGAGCGTGCATTGCATCCATCACCCTCGTCGCCGCGTTAGTCACATTGCTGTGGATAACCGTGACGGGTCTAGGCTTGAAACTTGTGCATTGTTTCTAAATTCGAGAAGTGGCAGTGATCTACTGAGACTCTACAAGAGAGAGGACATTTTCTTCCTACAGCTGCAGTTATGGGTAAGACAAAGGTGATCCATAACATGATCTTTGAAAAGTGAAAAGCAATAATTAGTTTACAAACAAATCATTGAACACATGTCACAGAGTTGACTAATGCAAGAATAAGAACATGATGGAAACCATGTCTAAACCTTTCTACATTCCAATCAGATTAACTTATGATCATAGATATTTTATAAAAAACAAACAGTAGCAGCATATACAGTAGTTGAATTCGAGTGGTAAAGATGTAAATCCAATGGACAGAACTTCCTAGTAAATAAAACTCAAAGTCAGGACAAACAATATTAGAACATAATTATTCGGGACTTCTTATGACGGGTTTCTTAGGAGAATATAAGAAAAAAAAATTTAAAGTACTATTTTAAAAAACACTTTCTTAACTTTTTAATTAAAAGATAAGAAATAGTGTCTCAAGAAACTCGCATAATCATGCTCTTAAAAAAACTAGAGACACTTATACAGTACATCTGAGTGTAAGTTTATTTTACTTTCCAGCGTGGTCTGAATAAACCTAAGTAACAACTCATCTTTGCTTTCATACACCACCTGTAACAACCATTTATTTTTCACTTATGAAAAACAATATTCTGTACAAGTAATTGAGCAAGAAGTTGAAGGCTTTTTCCATGTCTAAACAGAGACTTAAGGTCTAATCTGTAGACTTTATTAATTTTTAAAAAAGACGCCAATAATGTCCAATATTAATACAATGCAGCCAGATCTTTGTTCCCATATAAGAGATTTTCCCCTCAGAAAGGACTAAATTAAAAACCTTCTGGACTGCGGGGAAGGTTTGGGTCACATTCTGCTCGACGACGACACTAGGATGAGGCCTTCCTTTTCTGCCATACATCTAAAAGATAGAAAGCAAAAAGTTTGATAAAAGCCACTAAGAGTTCTCTTTACCATTTTCCCACTTTCTTTTAAGAAAGAAAACAGACCAGAACAGAAAAAAGGTAAGAAACCAGAAAAAAATGGCACTGAGAATGTGGGCTTCCTCTACAGCAAACGCTCTCAAGCTTTCATCTTCTGCCTCCAAATCTCATCTCCTTCCACCTTTCTCCATCTCCAGATGCTTCTCCTCAGGTAAAAAAATAACAACTTCATCCTTATTGACATAACTGTGTGTTGCATTGCTCTTGTTTTAAGACTCATTATCTTAAAAGTATTGGTTGATTTTTTGGGTTTGAAGTGTTGGAAGGTTTTAAGTATGCAAATTCACATGAGTGGGTGAAACATGAAGGCTCAGTGGCTACTATTGGCATCAGTGACCATGCCCAGGTATCAAAAAAACAAAGCTCATCAGAACTAGTTTATATCAGATAAATGAGATAGAGAGAGAGACTATATCAATGTTTGATGATTTGCAGGATCATTTAGGAGAAGTTGTGTTTGTGGAGCTGCCTGAAGAAAAAAGTTCAGTGACCAAAGCAAATAACTTTGGAGCTGTGGAGAGTGTCAAGGCCACAAGTGAGATAATATCTCCAATCTCCGGTGAAGTCATTGAGGTCAACACAAAGCTCGCCGATTCACCTGGCCTGGTAAGTTTTTTTTTCATTTGAACAGTTAACTAAGTGTGTGGTGTGGAGCGTATCAAAACCTATATGTTGTTTTTTTCATTTGTGTTAGATCAACTCAAGCCGTATCAAAACCTATATGTTGTTTTTTTCATTTGTGTTAGATCAACTCAAGCCCTTATGAAGATGGTTGGATGATAAAGGTGAAACCAAGCAACCCCGCAGAGTTGGAATCCTTGATGGGTCCAAAGGAATACACCAAGTTCTGCGAAGAGGAAGACGCTGCTCACTAGCGGATTCTTCACCTACAGTTTCGATCTTTTCACTTGTCAATGTTTCCTATCTCTGTATCAGATTTGTATCTCTGTAATACTAATTTGGTTAAAGATCATTCAGTGACTCACAATAAAGCTTTTAACTTTTAAATAACACAAAGAAAACTTTAATTGATTTTCAATCATATTGTTGAGAAGAGAAAAAACATTAACATATCACAAGGGTCTAACTTTCAAACAAAACCCAAGTCGGTATGCATGAAAGGAAAAGACTTTGATCTGTACAATTACTCCTATCAGACAGCTACAGCCGGTGAAGGAGAAGGTGAAGGTGACTCGTCGTAGGAGATGGAAATCAACTCTGACCTGAGCTTTTCCGCATCTTCAGAGTTTCTTTTAGTGACGACTCCGTTTGTTATAGTGCTGACGACAGGTCTCACATCTGAGGACGTTAGAGACTCTTCAACCTCCTCCGGTGAAGTGTAGGAGATGGCGATGAGAGACTCGCGAGCTTGTTCTTGAGAGATATCGTGACTCGGTTGTTCCATCAAACAATCAATGACTTTACGCGCACGCTTTCTGCAGATTTGTAGCAGAGGAACAAAACCCATCTTTACATTGTTTTCGACAACCAATGTATATAGAAAACACAATTTACATTACACGATAGTTGAAAACCCAAAGCTAAGTAGAAAGTATTGACCAAGCGAAATGAAGAAATTACATAGAATCTTAAGACAGAACATATGTTAAAAGGTTAGAGATTTACATTTCACATAACGTATCAATCAATATCACTAACAAACAAATCGTATAAACTAAACCCAGAAACAAAACCCTTAAACTCCCTGACCGAGTTAAAAATTAAACCTCCAAAATAAAGTCAACGTGATTTCTATTTTTTTTTTCGCTTTTTTTTTTTGCATGCGATTTTCTCGGATGGAATCAGTAAATCAAAACATGTTAAAAACCAACGAATTATCTAAATTATATCTTTATCTCCGAACAAATCTCTCCTTGTTCCTCTCGAAATTTCCGAAGAAAAAAAATTAAACCAAAAAATTCGATACAATTGTAGGACAGAAGTAAGAGAGGAAGACAAACAGAAAATGAGATCGATGAATCCGAGGAAGGGCGAAGGGGACGGAGGAAGAGAGAAACGTACCTCTTTGATTCGTACTACGGCAATTCTTAACGTAGACAGAATTAGATAACTGGTTTTTGGTTTTTATTGCCCATTTTTATATTCCACGTTTTTTTTTGACCAAATAATGTTCTTTGCCAGCTAATTCCCACGTCGATAAACTTTATACAGATACCAAGTGGTTTTTTTTTTTTTTTGAATAAAGCAAGTGGGGTTTTATTCTAGATTTTAGCATTCAATCTTTTTTTTTTTTTGATCAATGCATTCACATCTTTTTATCAATAGACTTTTCTGGATAACTAGTTTGATTTTAGCAATACTATTCTTTGACACGCTATATTTTCTCATTTATTTCCCCGTTTGTTACCATTCTTTTTTTCTTTGGAAATGATTATAATTCATAATAAAATTACTATACATTTAATATTTTAGTTAGATTTTGATGTGTTTAGGAAAAATTTGGATAAGTGAGAATTCACAATGGTTATTATAGGATAAGTGGAAAATTTACAATCTATCTATATATATATATAAAGAATATATACATATATAAAGAAAAGTTTCTTTTTTTAAAAAAATGCCAAATCATCAAATTGCTCAACGTCAGCGTGACACATGTCCTTTATTATTAAACGCTACGTATTAATAACACACTGACGATAAATATGGACTTCGCTATTGTGTTGGGCTTTACTCTTGCCTTAATGAAATTAGCCCGATGGTGAGTAGTCTTAATTTTCTCTGTACGCGTCGAGTCGAATGTGTTAGGGTTCTTCCTATTCTATTATATTCGTCATGTTATTCGAGAGATTGTGTTCCTGAAGTCGGCGTCATCATTCTGTTCGTAGGATTCTGATCGCGTACGTTGATATCCTTTTACATCAACCGAAACAAACCCACTTAAAGATTCCTCGAATTAAACATCTTCTTATCTACTATAGCCACGATCTTTACTGAACTTCTCTTTTGCGACGGTGAATCTGCAGGTATAAAAAGGTTAGCCCTCTTCCCTTGAACATCATCATCTAGATCTGTATAAACACCAAAGCTAAGTTAATTTTTTGTATAGTGGCTAACTCCTCCTTGCTGATTTGAAGTCCGGCCGCTGCTCGGCCATTGCTCATATTCAAGTAAAAATCTGATGGATATGATCTCGGCCGACCCAAACCCGATTCTTGCACACCACTTCTTTTTCTGCCTTTTTCACGGTGTCTCAGCCGTCTCCTAGCTGCATCGGCGGATTCGCATTTTCACTATCAAATGTCGTCTGGGGAGAAGAAAATCCAAGCCAACCATGTTGTTGCCTATCTACAAATAATCCTCCTAAGGCCTATATCATGCTGCAAATTTAGAGACATCAAAGGTGGTGCTTCTCTTTCCTCTGTGTATGCACTTGAATTTGCAATATGAGGAATTAAAAATGCTTTTTTGTGTGTGTTGTTGTTCTATGTAATCAGAAAAAACAAAGTTGTGAGCAAGTAGAGGAAAACGATCCACTTATTAGTTCTTCTTCTTCTTTAATGTAGTTGAACACAGTTTTGTATGTTAAAATGACTTTTGCGACCAGTTTTATACACACAACTTGCAAAGAGTGTTCAAGAATTAGCTGCCACCTTGGATCATGTTAAGTTTTCTCTTATTATCTGCCTTTGAATGACTTTTCTGGTGAAAAATAATATATGAATTTATCTGTCCATTGAAAGAAATTTATTTGTATGAGGGTTAACTGATTCTCATAACCTTTATAATATCTCAAAGTTTTCTATTTCTTAATCTTTCTTCTGATAACTAAATAAAGAAAATGATTGTCAGCTTGTCTTTATTGAAGAAAATGTATGGCCCAAGGTTGCAGTCATGGAAGAAGGGATGCCTGCTACTTTTATGCTGCAGCAGTTTCTATAGGTCCTTACATGGGAACTTTATTGTAGAATGATGAAGGAAAATGGGTCTTCCAAACCGGATTACTGAAAATTTCGTTTAGGTCGATAGAAACAAACATTTATGTAAAGGTATGTTACAATGATTTGCTTTCTAATACATAAATATATGTTCAAATGGCAGATTCAAACTTTCTTAGTAGGCAAGTGTTGGTAAATGTTCTTTTAGGGTCTCAAGAATTTGAATTTCAGGCGGAAAGTGAGGGGTTTCAGGTGGAATATAGAGAATCTGATTTGAAAAGCTCTTATATGTTCGACTCTCTTTGTTACTCCTTTCTCCTTTTTGTTATCTTTATTAGTTTTTTTAGCTTAAACAAACCCAATAGTACTAAAATATTCCCTCAGATCAAGCTATCAAATTCTCCAATGCGTTTGAATTATTCTTGCAGATATCAGGTTCTTCGAAATCAGATTTCAGTAAAAGACGTTAGATCCGGCGAGCACTGAAGGAGTTATAAACGGATGTTTGATATGCCAGACGATGGAACTATGACAGATCGTTAACGACTGATGTAAATGGAATGCAATGATCATGTCTTTTTTTTTCTTTTGGTCAACGAAATGATCTTATCATACTTTGAAATTTGTTTTTTTGGGCTTTTTTTTTAAATGAAAAACAAATATGTCCGACAATATATAGAAACTTGAAAATTCGTCTTCACATTTTTGATCTTTTTGTCATTAACGTCTACACATTTACTTTGATGTCGTGAATTACTCTGTTATGTTACCAATTATGAAATTTTTAAGTGGTCATATAATCATTGAATGCAGTCACTAATAGCTTAATAATAATTTTAGCATTATATAATTATAAATAACAATCAGTTATTTCGATGTAGTGGTAATATATATAGTTAATTGTTAATATATAATAAATCAATTACATTTAATGGGGTTAATGTTAAAAATTATTTTCTAAAAATAAACCAATATATTTTAATCTTCAAATCATAATTATTTATTAGGATAGTATATTTTATTTGGATTAAAAATGTAATAACATATACAAACTCCAAAAAACATGTATAACAATTAGTATTAGGCTTTTGTGTTGCAACATATCAAAAGAATTATCTATGTTTATGTGTTAAATCCAATTGATTAGAACTTTTTAAATTACATTCTACTTGCTTTCAAAATTAAACCACAACAAAAATCAAGAATAATTACATTTTCCTGAATTGTTTTAACAGTAAAATAAATATGTAATTAATAAAGAGAAAAATAATGAAAATTGTTATAGAAAATAGTGAAAATTAAATACTTTACGAAATTTTCATTTAACTGGTTTTAGTATAAAATAAATATGTTTTTGTAATTATTGTAAACACCGAATGTAGGGTTATTGTATTCATGATGAGAAAATTAAAATATTTTGTAATTTGATAAAAAATTGAATTATAATTTTAAAATTGTCATGAAAATATAAATATGTCTTTATATAATCCAACAAAGACACAATATAAAATAGTCTGAGAACAAACAAAGAAAGCATAAATGAAATTAGATAATTTATATTTATGAATAAACTAAAATATCTATAAGGACATAATAGAAATAGAATATAACTTTATTAGTAATTACAATAAGAAAACTTACGTTGGAAAAAGATGATATAATTTTTAAACAACTTAAAAATATTGATCCACACATAATATAAAACAAAATCCTTTAAAAACAAAATTTAAAATAAAAATATTGATCCACACAAATAGTTTTTAAAAATTCATTTAAAAACAAAAAAATTCAAATACAATGAATCAATTCGCGCGGACTTACCCTAGATACATCAAATCATTCCCCCACGGTATGACACATGTCCATATCTTTTGCTACTACGGTTTGTAAACGTCTTCTTTTTGTCTGGGCTGGGTCTTCTTTCCTTTCAACTAAAGTGTGGGTCTTACAGTTATCATTTACGGCACATGACTTTGTGGTTTATTGATGTGATGCAAGAGGATCTTGCATTGACATGATTTTATTTTGTGACTTAAGTTTTAACTTACATTTTTGGTTCAAATTTACTTTTTATGATACATCTATCACTCTTAGAAGCTAATTTAATCATTCAGAACACTCTTATGTAATACATCTATCATTTTCTTATAAACAAAAAGGATCCAACCTCCAAACTATTAACACCAAACAAAACAAAGACGAGGTAAAATATAGGCAGACACATTTGTCGCACTATAAACCTCTGCATAAGTATGTATTAATTTGGTGGCAAAATTATTATAATTTATAAATTTAATTTGAGTTAGCCAAGCATTATTATAAGTAAAACAAGTCAGCTAACAAAGTTATGAATAACCTCCAAACTATTAACACCAAACAAAACAAAGACGAGGTAAAATATAGGCAGACACATTTGTCGCACTATAAACCTCTGCATAAGTATGTATTAATTTGGTGGCAAAATTATTATAATTTATAAATTTAATTTGAGTTAGCCAAGCATTATTATAAGTAAAACAAGTCAACTAACAAAGTTATGAATAATGCCTTCCATGTTTAAACTTTAGCTCGCTGATCATTTTTAAAATATTTAGCTGATTTTGGCAACTGGAAAAGAAATGACACACTTAGGATAAGGATGTGCAAAACATAAACCGCTAATTAATAGTGTATAGTAAAAAAATTAATCTGGAAACTTTTCCTACGATTGCCAGCATAAACGCACAAACCATGAAAACATATTACAAATCAATACCAGACATATTAAGCTGTAAATAATAACAAACAACAAGTCTTATGCATATACAAGCACTACAAGAAAACATGAAATTACCGACTGCAAGTTGCGACCGATTGTGTTCAGTCGCAAAATATTGTGACTGAATTGTGACTGTTTTGCGACTGTTTTGTGACTACTGCGTATTAGTCGCAAATCAATCTTTAATATGCAACTAAATGTTGCAGTTACAAAATAGTCGCTAATTAGCGACTGTTGTATGACAACATACTATGGTCGGTAGCTTGTAGTCGCAAATCAGTCGCTAATTAACGACTATCTTACGACTACTTACTAAATGTAGGGTAAAAAATAAGCAGTCGCAAAACAGTTGTTAATTTTTTTTTTTAACGCTGATAATTGAACAAAGTTTGAGGACCACAAAATAATAAACAAGAAACAGGAAAATGAGATGTCAGTAGACACCATCATAAGAGCAAAA